TCAAAATAAGCTACTAGCTTCCTAACTTTTTTTCCATCTTTACCCTTATTATTTTAAAGTAATGACATATTTTAACCTTATGAATTAAAACCCTTTCTCTTCCCCTATCCCAACTTTCACGTCAATCCCTTCCTTAGTCTTGTTTCCTGCTAAACAATTATGTTGAATTAAAACCCCTCCTCCTCCTCCTCCTCCTCCCCCTCCCCCTTCTTATTCTTCTTCTTCTCTTCCTCCTCCTCCTCCTTCTTATTCTTCTTCTTATTATTATTATTATTGAGAGATCGTTTGAAGTATTGAATAAGAGATGGAAGATACTTGCTAAAATGCCGCAGTTTAGTGAGGAGCCCCAAATTGATGTTATTATGGCTACATAATTATATTCAGAAGAATTCACAAGATGACATGATGTTTAATGTGCTTGAGCAGCATCCAGATTACATACCGCCCGATGAACTTCAAGATTCAAGTAGTAATATCTCCATCAACGAAAATTTAAGTCACACCTCTATGGAGATGAAGGATATTCGCAACAATATTGCTACTTCATTATGCGATGCTAGATCATGATCATGCTAATAGTTTTATTTTAAAAAGTGTTTACTTTTTTTGGAAGACGAAATGTTAAATTTTAATATGTAAACAAACTAATTTAAATTTTATGAAGATGTCCTTTTTAGTCTTTTTACATTTATCAGCTTATCAAAAAGCTAAATTTACCAAACACTTTCAATCATAACAGCTAGCTTAACAGCTCTTCAATTTTCAGCTCCGAGCTTATAGCTTTTCAGCTTTCAGCTCCTTTTCAGCTATCAGCTCCTAGCTTATAGCTTTTCAGCTAGGTTTGCCAAACAGAGCCTATATATCATTTAAATTATAGACTAATTGTGAAATGGTAACAATTTTTATATATATTACTAAAGATACGAGAAAATTGTGTAAGCTCCAACATAAATTTAAACTTTTTACTGGCCTCAAACTTTTTCTTTGGCATAAAAAAACAACATTATATTCCCAAATATAGAAATACATTCCTGTAAAAACAAGTCTTAAAAAAAAACTTGCGGACATATTTTGATCGTCCTATTTGTGATATCTACGGTTATGTTTTGTTTTAGATTTTGGGTCGTGTGGGTTATTAATTCCCCAGTTTTTCTTTTAGTTGAGGGCATTTGGGGATTTGATATTTATTTCTGTTTCCATTGACTTCATTTTCCTCCTTCTTGCTAAATACTAAAAACTCGAAACTCGAAAAATATTTTTCGGAAGTCATTTTATGGGTTTCCAAACGCACCCTAAATTACAGTCAACGAAATATGAGGAGTTTGATCTTTTATTAAGGATTTATTATTCTTCCAAAAGGCTGAACCCCAACCTTAAGGGCCCCCACACCCAGGGGCGGACCTACAGTGGGGTCAGCTGCCCCCACTCACCCCACCCCCACCCATTATATAACCCTTGTATGTATATGTGTATATATAGTACAAGTTTTAGTATAAGTACTAGAAAATAGAGAAATATTAATAGAATGTGAATTAGCCTGGTTGGTTGAGTGCGTGGTTGGTCTGAACCTAGTCCAGGGTTTGATTCTCCTCTATCCCAAATTTTGTTTTCTTATTATTTCACTTTAACACTATCTTTTCTCATTATTTCACATTTTCACTATTATTAATAGTACATATTGCTTCAACACAATAATATAATCTTCATTTATATATTAATAATGAGATGAGATGTGTAATTTATAATGGATCTTTTATTCAAATTATTTTATCAAATTGATTATGTTCATATTTTGTTATGAATATTTTTATAATGTTTTGATGTGTTTTATAATTTTCTTATATCCAACATTATTTATGGCTATACTTTTTAAGTGTTTCATTTTTTTTTCTAATTATCAATTTTGCTAATATTTTGCCCCCGCTGAAAAAAATTCCTGGGTCCGCCACTGCCCACACCCCGACCCCACAGAGTATTTGGGAGGATGTAAATCATGGTAACTCAACTGAACATGAACCACAGATGCTAGACCTTTGCTCACTGCGAATGATTTATTATTAGTTGTGGTTATGTTATATTAAAGATGAGTCACTAGCCTTAAAAAAAAAAAAAAAAAAAATGAGTGGTTATCATCAATTGGGGAAGGTAGTTGGAGTGGAAAAGCTATAAAGGATAGGAATTTCTATCTTTTACCTTCACGAATTCCAACACCAATATTGATAGGAAATTTCTACACATTCTACATCTGCTAATCTGATTTCTATATTCCATATAACGTGAGGACATTGCTGGAGCAGTCGTCTGGAGCTGGTTCAGTTGCATCAACACTTGAAGACAAAGATAACATGCACGTTTTGATCAGGACGCATAATGCATTGTGCACCCTGGTGCACGGTATAATTTGCTGACTCACCATCCAATACAACCCAAAAAAATTCGATCCATATGGAATGGATTCGAATGGGTATTTGCTAGACAAATTGAAATTACTATCTCTAGTGGGAGATGGTGTGTGAATGACTAAGTAAATGAGTTCTTTTTTTTTTTTTTTTTTTTAATTCCATTTTTGAAGTTTGATGATGAGAAGAATATTTTGAAAATTTTGGAGAAACTTCCTTGTTTGGCTCAAGCGCACAAAATGTTTCATACTTAAAAGCTTGAAAATTTTGAAGGGAGGAATCTGGAATGCTTTTCATCAAGGGGATACTAGCTTGCTTTCCATCCCTTGAGAAAGTCATTATATTATTACATTTCCAAAAGTTGAAATTGTTTATATCTATTTTTTTTTTTTGGATGCTACTAGCTCTATTAGAACATAGTATCTGTTCATATACTTTCTCAACCTACTGAAACAACCAATAACACCTCCACTGAGGCTCGAACTCACAATTTTTCAAATTGGAAATCCAACTCGGGTACCATTAGATCACATAGTCTTAGTATTTTTTTTTATTATTTTTATTATTTTTGCATTTTTTCCAATTTAGTTAATGAGAATTTATGCTTAATTTTTATATTTGACCCATGCTATTGTTTATCTTTTGATTCAATCATGTACTTCATTATTACTTTTGGCAATTCTTGAAATTTCTAATCCACACCCTACCTTATTATGTAGTCAATGGTTATGTTGGGGAACCGTGTCCAGCTTGCAAAGTGGACACAATTCTATATTCATAATTACTGAACTATATATTCATAATTATAAAGTTATACATTCATAATTATAAAGTTATATATTCATAATTTTTGAACATCATATTTATAATTATTAAACTCTATATTCACAATTATTTAATCTCTATATTCATAATTACAGAACTATATGTTCATAACTATGTTCACAACTCTATATTCATTCTTTCCAACACAACTCTATGTTTACAACTCTGTATTCATAATTATAGAATTACATGTTCATAATTTTTGAACTATATATTCATAATTATGAACAATTTTGAAACATTGTCCACCTTACAATTATTTATTTAATATTAGATTCATATATATAGATGGATGCAAATGATTTGTTCTCACATTCTCACCTAAGCAAGTGTTCTCATTAGAACCCTATTATATGTATATATATATAGTAGGGTTCTAATGAGAACACTTGCTTAGGTGAGAATGTGAGAACAAATCGTGTGCATCGATCTATTATTTTTTAATTATTTAGATTAAATTAAGTGTGTGCGAATATGAATTAAATGTGTGCAAAATAGCAAATGCGATTTAATATAATATAAATCTAAAATTAAATGGACATTCAATCTGTTAAATCACAAAAGCTCAAAAGTCCATTTATTATACTTAGCCCAACCCATATTACCTTGGCCCACGTATAAAAACCCATACCAAAACCCCAAATCCGACATCCGGACCACTTTGTATTCTTTCTGGAAGCGACGTTTACATCTGCGATCAACACAATGAACAAAGCTTCGATTATCCGGATATATCCATTCAAATCGCCCCCAAAATAAACAAATTCGAGCAACTTTCATACTCATCTTCCTAATAATGTAACTTACCAAGGTCGTCTAAGAACCCGTTACGAAGCCCCTCAAATCGACGACCCATACACTGGCCATGTTTGGTTATCGGCGGATCCGTCATTTTTTGGCGGATCCGCCATTCGCCAAAAAAATATGTTTGGTTAGCAGCGGTTTGCTCCAAACCGCTGCTTTCGCAAACGCTGCAAAGTGCAGCATTTGCGGTTAGCGTTTTGAGGAAAATTAAATTTTCCCCAAAACGCCCCTGTTTATTAAAAAAATAATAATAAATAAAAAAAATAAATAAAAAAAAAAACTTTAAACTTGTATATGAGGAGCCGAAATGGCTCCTCAAATTGAGGAGCCAAAACGGCTCCTCAATGTTGCCCATCTGGGATGGGCAACGAATGAATTCATGGAGCCTTGAGGCTCCTTAAATAGGAGCCTCAAGGCTCCATTCCCACTTTTCCCACCGATGTGGGACTGTGGGAAAAGTGGGAATTCAAGGGCCAAGAGGGGAGCAGCTTCTTTCTTTTTTTATTTTTTTATTTAAATTATTATTATTATTATTATTAATTATTAATTTTTAATTATTATAAGGGTATATATGTCATTTTACATGTTAACCGCTAATCTAAACCGCTAATTTTACCAAACACTTTTTTATAAACCGCTAATACAATCTGCTGGTCAAACACGCTAATACAATCCGCTATTTGATAACCGCTAACACAACCCGCTACCGCTAATCACTAACCGCTGATAACCAAACAAGCCCACTGCAATGACGGAACTGGTGAGACGAATAGCGTACTACGGGTAATCCTCATTTTTCTCTGTGTAAATAGATTGTGTTTCATTTGTATACATTTTTCCAAAATTGCAGTATTGAGCAGTCGAAATTTTACTGCATGCTTTCTAAATTTCCCTTCCTTTACGAAATCTTGCAGTCGAAGAAGAGTGGAACGATTTTAGGTTTTTATTTCGATTGTAGCAAAGAATCATTTAATGGCTCGGCGAAAGCTTATAAGCGATTCAACAAGTGAGCTTCCGGTAGAGGTAAAGGACAGAATTTTGGAGTGTTTGCCCACCCGAGACGCCGCCAAAATGGCTCTGCTCTCAACCTACTGGAACGATGCTTGGTTGCAGCATGGGCAGCTTGTGTTTGATTCGAACTTCATTGAAAGTGTTGATCAGTACTGTGATGGTGAAGGTATAACCTTCTTGAACATAATCAGTAATATCCTCTTTCTCCGTGCTGGGCCGGTTAAGAAATTTACTATAAAGATAAGGAAAGAAAATAATCCTGAGCTGGAGCGGTCTGATTTCGATAGGTGGTGTCTTTTTCTGTCAAGAAATGGCGTGGAGGAACTTAACATATCTTTAGAGACGGCTAGTTATGGGAAGGAATATAAGCTGCCATTTTGTTTACTCTCTTGCAGGACAATTAAGCAGCTGATAGTCCACGCTCTCTTTATTGATTTGCCTGTAAATGCTGTTGGTATATTTTCCAATGTCACTTCATTAGCTTTCTTCGATATTACGTTTAAGCGCAGTGTTAATGGAATTGCCTCTAGTATTAGTATTCCTAAACTTGAGAAGCTGGCTTTCGAACTTTGTTTTGGGATCAATAAATTTGAGATCAGCCCTCCAAAGCTTGAAATCTTGTCTGTTATTGGTTCTATGTATGATATAGTTGATTCGAGATGGTTGGCGCCGCATTTGAAAGCCATTAAGACTCTTTGGTTGTGTGCCCCTTCGTTCCGGGTGAGAATCTAACTCATTCTACTTTATGCAAATGGATATATGGATACATATAATGGCTTTTTAAAGTTATTGTGGTGGCTAATTTTGTTTTTTATTTTTATTTTTTTATTTCTATTTTTCAAGTATATGGATGTATCTATGTTTCCAATTGCAATAAATCTGCAAGTGATGAAGCTGTATGAATTAAGGTTTGGTTGTGGGAAGCAGCTCACCGTTGCTATGCAATTACTTCAAAAATGCCCCAACCTATGTGAACTAGGAATTATGGTGGATAATGAGAGGTTGAGTATGCATGCATTTGGCAATATATCATGCTTGATTCTTTGTTTTTTCTTTTTCAAATGTCCTCACAGTTGTGTGTTTCTTTCATTTCTTTTGAGTTATAGAGATTGGGGGAATTCGGATGACAAAGAAGTTGCTTCAAGGCTTTTGGAGGATCCAGATGGTTGCTTTGTTATTCAGGAGTTGAAGATGCTTAACACAATCAAGATTGAATCATTCTGTGAATCCGCACTCATAATATTTTTTATGAAAATGCTGCTCTCAAAATCCTCTGCGCTAGAGAGAGTTATTCTGAAGCTTTGGTATATGGATGACTCTGAAATGAGCGAAATCCTAAGGAAGTTGGAATGCTTCCCTCGTGCATCTCCAAACGCACAAATAGTCTGCGCGGGCACTTACTGCCAGTTCGATTACTATGAGCGTGAGGAGTATTTGGATCTATACCCTTGGTTTTAGCCTTTTAGAAACCTAGTATGGCTTGGTGAATCTCCATGGGGTTTCAATTTGAGTGCAACTTAGAAATGTAAGCAATGGTTGTGTTGGAAGTTGAAATGTTTCCTAAGTTGTTCAGCATAGGTATTTGTAATCAGCAAACATAGACTCCAAGAATGGTCCTCCATTTGCTTTTGTTAATTGTACTTGTTACTACTTTAGATGATGTGGGTTATCGATCACTGTTCAATCAGTTGTTTCTTGTGACTTCAACACAATGATGTTTCCATGAAATCTTTTACTTTCTTGAAGATTTAATAAGTAATTCAATTATGCCGTCTTTTCTTTTGGCAAATTTAACCTCCTGTGACTGACAAATTATGTTGCATTTTCTTGCTCTAACATTGAGTGGTTCATTTTGTGATTATATGTGTGTGCATATTATTTTGTTTGCAGTATGCATATATAATATAAAAAAATAGTATATATTATACTCCGTATATGCATATGGTATAAAAACTATTGTTTTTCTAATTGCAGTGTATATGTGTATTAGTTCAGATTATTGAACAGCCCAGAGATAGTTCAGAGTATTCAGAAGCATATCACATTTACTCAAACTAAAAAGTTGTGCACCAGTACATTCAGTCGTTATATTATAGACCGCGGTGCATGTGCACCGCGGTCAAAAACGACGCCGTTTCTTTAAGTAAAGAAATGGCCCGCCGTTAGAGTTAACGGAGTCCGCTTGTTTGGTGTATTAAACACCAACCGACACTACAGTATATCCAAACCGACACTGCAGTTATATCAAAATGATACTGTAGTTATAGTGAAATGAAACTGCAGTGTATATAAACTGAAACTGAATAACATTTCACATATTTGAGTGTATATTGTACAATGAAGCTGTAATTATATCAAAATGATCATGTAGTTGTGTTTTAATGAAACTATAGTGTATATAAAATAAAATTAAATAACATTTTCACATATTTGAGTCTATAAATATCGAATGAAACTATAGTTATATCGAAATGAAATTGTAGTTGTGTTCAACTGAAACTGCAGTGTATACAAAATGACACTAAATAACAGAGTTACTTTTTGCAAAAGGGTGCGAAATGACGGAAACAAACACGGTTAATTTTCATTTTTAAAAAAAAAGACGCGCGGTGCATAATCGATTATGCACCGCGGTGCATAATATAATTTGCCCAGTACATTCTATGTAACTTTAAAAGATATCTATTTTTACTTTTATTGAGCCATGACAAAAATACAAAAGCTTCTACGTAACATTAAACTCCTTATTACTTTCAAAAATTTCGTAACAAATAATGATAAACAAATTTTCAAGTGTTGGAATTCTAGCCCCTTAAGCATTTCAAACTTTGATCTTTAAATGAGCGCTAAGCTTCAAAGTATGCAGCATTTTGTGTGTTTGAGATTTTGAGCTACACTACGAAGTACCTCCAGAAATTTCAACCCATTTAACACCAAAACACCAAAATTTTTCACTAAATGTCACATCAAAAAGAATATTCTGAGCATATTTTTACACCAAATTTTATTCATCTTCAACTCATTACACCAAAATGCTAAAGTTCTACATCAAATGCTATTCTAAACTAAAATAATATTTTTTTTGAATGCTACTAGCTCTATTACAATGTAATATCTGTTCATATACATATTTTTTTTGAATGCTACTAGCTCTATTACAATGTAATATCTGTTCATATACTTTCTCAACGCTTCTACTGAGGTTTGAAGTCACAACCTTCCAAATGGAAGTCCAACCCGGGTACCATTAGACCACATAGTCTTGGTCTACACTAAAATAATATGGTTTCTCTAATTTTTAAATTTTATTGTTGTTATGTTTGATTTATTTTAATTTTTAATTAATCTATATATAATATTAGTCTTGTTTTGATCGTCTTGATGAGATCTTCCAAATGATATAATTTATTTATAATAATATAACATTTATGTTTAAGTATTTAACAAAGTATATAAATACATAAAAACAAAATAAAGAATACAAAAGAAATTAACAAATAAAAATAGGGGCAAAACAGGAATGGAAAATTATACAAAAAATGGCGTGTATGAACAATGTTGCGCCATATTTGGCACAGCACGGTTCACAAACGACAAAAAAAAAAAAAAATTTGCCCATTTTGCGGTACGTTGGAATTAAAAAACAGCAAATTTTTTAACGATTTGGCGCTACATTGGAGATGGACTTAATTTACAAGTTGGTTACATCGAATTTAAAAAAAGCATATTTTTTTTGGAAAGGAAAAAAGAACAATATATTAATCACCATAAATCAAATGTTGAATATACGTAGGATAGGTAGAAAACCAAATACGATGACCACCAGATTGAGAACTAACTACCCTTGTCAAAGCATGAACAATCTTATTCGCGAATCTAACAATAAAACGAAACGAGACACTGAATATTAATGCAATCATTCGCCACAGTATGTAGCATGCAAATTAGAACCAGTATGGTTTTAATTTGATTATGCATGTGCAAGCCATTCCACTCATCATCAGTAGACCAAACTTTTGGATTCCAAACAAGTTCATTTCTGCTCCTCCAAATTGCAACACATTTATACTTCAAAATTATTCTCATCTACAGCCACAAAATCATTCCATAACGCACAACTGACAACGGACAAGAACTATCAATATTAATACCACGACGAGCAAGAGCAGTACGTACCGGTAGAATGGACCTCCCACATCTATGTTGAATATGGTGAATAAATCGATACACAAAATATATATTTATGCGAAAATGGAATTTAATTTGTACAAAATTATTTCCTACTAATTTTTGGTACAAAAACAAAATCAATATATATATATATATATATATATATATATATATACACACAAAATATATATTAATAAAATAGTGATTTATTTTATCAAAAATAATCCCTACTGCATGAACTAGTACCAACTAGTACAAGGGATTTAATTTTTACGAAATTAATCCACCTCACTTGGTACGAAACCAAGAACAAATATATAAAAGAATAATGAGAAATGGTTTCTAACCTAGGTTTTAACCCAACACAAATAAAAGGAAGTCCGAGTCGTGTGTACACACTCTCCTTAAAATTGATTCGCCGCCTCCCAAGCTGAGGGTGCTAGGAGCATTGTGGCGTCAGTCTCTCAGGATAAAACGGACTACGACTTTGGCGTTCGAGCACTCAACTCCAAAGCCCGACGAATTAAAACACAAGATTGAGCACTTCGATGTTTCACGGAAGTGTTGACAGAATTCTTTTCTTTTGTAAATGAGTTGAGAGTTGAGAGAAACAAAAGAAAATTGTTTTTGAGATTCAAACTAGCAGGCCAAAACAGTCTGCCAACCACTAAGTATTTGAAGGGAAAAGAGAATAAATAGCATTATAATGGATCATAAAACCTATGGCTATGCATCGGACGGGTTCGGATTTCGGGAATGAGAATCCGTTCGATTTTCGGATTACAGCTATTAATCTCCTATCCGTTTATTTTTTAAGGTTAAACTTATCGGATATGTAAAAATCGGATTTCGGACGGTTTACATCGGATTTCGGACTAAATAAGATATAAATAAAAAATTCGTAAAAATTACAAATTAACAAATTAACTACTAAATAAGTAAATCAGCACTAATTAAGTTGTAACTTGTTAACTTCTAAGTAGTAACTACTGGTAGTTAACAATTTACAACTTCAAAATCACAAGTTCACAACTTAAAAGTTAGCCCTATGTCCCTAACACCTAACAAGTTATATAAACTTTACAGCTTACAACTTACAAGTTACAATTCAAAAACAGTATACAGATTCAAATTCTCAAAAAATCATCTGTTAAGGCAGCATTCAAAAACTAAATGTAGCAACAGCAAGCTAGCAACTCAGGCACTCAGCAATCAGCAATCAGCATTCCTCATCTTCCTGCTTAAGGTGCAAACTTAAATAACAGAAAAAAAAAACTGAAAAGAATAACAGTTTAACATTTTTTGCTCACAAATCCAAAATAGGCTCAGATTGCTGTGTTTTCATATCATTAAGATTTGAGGGAAATTACTTCTAAAGTTTTGGAACAAAATCCAAAATTTGAACAACATACCAACCCCAAGTCCTTTGATTCAGACAAAGGTGGAAGAATCATCATAGCCCATACTA